GGGTGGCCTCTACCTCGCCATACCCCTTCCTCAGCTTACCAAGTATTAGTGTTATAGACGTGCACTGCCACAGTTCTTAAAGTAACTATTTACTGAGAACCTGATTGTTGCTAGGAAGGCAGTAAATAGAAGAGATGGGAGCTTCCTTACCGAGCTAAAATTTGATGGTGTGCAGGCATGTAGAGATAATCAAGTAGAATATATATTATGACTGTTGATGAGAAGCTTGGGAAAAAGCAAGCAGGAATCATGTATGATTTTAGAATGGATTACACTCTCCTACATGTTGTCCACATGTGCTATCTCTGGGAAAATGATATTTCAGAATACATAAAGATAAATGCACAACTTGGTAATTACACAGACACATAGTTCAGACATGCACACACAAGAGGCCACAGAGACACACATTAAACACACACACACATGTATACAGACACACTTCAGGCTGTACACATATACCTCATGTAGAGACACATGCATACTCAAGGCCCAGATACATAACTCCCATAGAGAACACAAATACACACACACACACACACAACCACAGACACACACACATACCACACACATACTCAGACACAAACTCAATTCAGATACTAACATGTAGACCACATATGTAAACACACACGGTATGATGTACACATACAGACCATGCATATGCACACAACACAAACACACACATGTATACACCACATTGTTTTCATATATGCATACAATTACCATGGTGATCTGTGTGTACACAATCACATTAAAACACATGAAATGAGGAAGAGCCACCCTATGACCTGAAAGAGTGTCTTCTCTGGGAACTTGGCCCTGTTTCTCAGAATGACCAGACCCAATGTCCCAGAAGGAGAGAAATAGTAGGGATGTTTGTGCCTTTGGGCCAGTTTCTGACATTTGAATGACTTTTAGATCTCAGTATCCATATCATCTGCTCACTGATATCAACACTAACCTCTTCCTGCTGCCTAAGGTCCAGCAGACCCCCTGGCCTTGCCACCCAGGGCACTGGCGCATGCCTGGAGCAGCAGTTGCATCCACACTCAGACTGGGGAAGAGCCAGGGCCCTTCAGCTTCCTCAGGAAGTGAGAAAGGAGAAGCAAACTCAGCTGAGAAGGGAAGTGGACCCTTGAGAGGGGTGGGGAAAAGAGATGCATAGGGACAAAAAATGATGAACTCTGAGGTCACAGACCAGTGTGGGTGCCCAGGAGCAGAATCAAGTGACTTCTGTCCCTGGAGCTCCTCTCCTAGGTCCTGCCTTAAGGGTATCATGGGGGTGTGAGTGGATACTAAGAGCATCTGCAAAGTTCTTCTCCTGCTCCTGGGCCCATCCCAGCCCTGATGCAACATCACTTTGTTACTGTAGCTTCTACTGCCTGGACTCCAGGCTCCTCAAGAGAGCTCCTGAAGTGTCTGCTGGTGACTGGTCAGCTGATGAAGGGATCTGGGATCTAGAGTCCCCTGTATGGGACACTGATGATGTTCACCATAAATCTCACCTGATGAGCTAGTCATCACCTTGTTCCTACAGGAGAACAAGGGGGAAGAAAAGGAGGAGATAGTGAAGAAGTGACAAGATTCAGACTTGGATATCCCATGATCTTGTACCAGACAAGAAAAAGAACCTGACGGGGGCCACAGGGCTGGGATGGGGCTGTGGTTGACCAGTGATTACCTTATGTGTCCTTGACCTAAGGTTTTCCAGGGAAACAAATGTTCGGCAGTGAGTCTGGATAACCATTTTACACGTTCACTGATGGCCTTTCAAGAGGGAGTGACTTACGAAGAGACTGACATAGTGGGAACCTAATCAACTGGTTAACAGGATGGGATTGGATAGGGTAGATTATCTCAACAAGGGGACTGGTTATTGACTCACAAGGCCACTAACCTCATCCTTAACCAACACACAGCAGCAGGTTGCCTTTTTGGTAAATTGATGACACACTGGCTGCCCTTCAGGCTGACTAGGTGACTGATGGGTGACAAACAAACTAGGTAACTGAGGTGTGACAGGCTGATCAGGTGACTGATTTGGTGACATACTGACCAGGTACTGAGCTGATGACCATAGAGACAGACTCCTGGTCAAGTGACAGGTTGTCAGTCCTCATCTGATCACCAGAATTGGCCTTTGTCTCAAGGACCAAGGAAGGGGCTCCTGGGGTCTAACTTACCTATGGCTGCTTCATTTGAAGCCCAAGGATCTGCTTGACCCTGGAGCCACGTGTTCCTATAAGGCCAGTTTGGCAGTCCTGATGCAGGACCCACACATGAAGATTCCAAGGACAGGCAGCACAGTACCCAGGCATTGTCTGTCTGAGGTGTGCTTGAGGCTACACAGTGTATATCTATCCCACCAACAGCCAATCAGTGTGTATATGGCCTATTCTTCAGCCAATCATCAGTTGCATTGGAATACTACACAGCCAGTACTACATAGCTCCTGCCTCTTGCTGCTGATGTACAGCCACCAGAGCCAATCAGGTGCTGAATACTTGCCCCTCCCCTTTTTGTGCCCAGAGGACTTGAGCCAATCAGTAATATTATGTTTGTTTGTTTGACACAGGAGGTTGCTGTGTAGCCCAGACAGGGTTTGAACTCACCAGCTTCCTGCCTTTGCTTCCCAATGCTGTGATCACAGGCTCTCCACACCATTCAGGGCTCCCCTACCTCCTTCAGTTCAGAGCCTTTCTTGACCACAGCCATGAAGCCACACTCCATTACCACAGGGTGACCCCTTTCTTCTTCATGATTAACCAGGCTTTATTTTCACATTTTACTCATTGCACACTTGCTGACCACCTACACATTTTCTAAATGTTTTTGCTCCTCAATGACATTTTTGTTTATGGTTTGTCTGACTGCTACAATACAAACTCAGGGTGAGCCAATTTGGGGTCGTATTTTTCTCACTGCTACTTCCTCTGTGGTCTCTGGCTGTGGCTCTGGCCACTGGCCTGGAAAGAATTTGTCCCCAGTCTTACCTGCACATCCTGGACCTCCCCATGGCTCTGACCTCTGCAGGCTGTGACCCTGTCTGTCTGTGCCTCCCCTCCCCCTATGGGTACCCCTCCAGAATCTGTCTCACCTCAGCTCAGCTCCCCAGAAGCTCCCACTTAACACTTGGGACCTGTCTCATCTTGGAGAGGTGAAAACAAGTGTGACAGGTGAACTAGCAGCTGTGCACAAATAGGGCTGGAACACAGGAGCTGCAGAGCCTAGGCAGACTCTTAGGCTTTCTCCTCATCCTCTGACCTTCCCTGACTGGAGGAGTGGCTTGGAAGCTGGATGTAGTGATGTCTGTGTGCTCCACTGTGAGCCAGAACAGGCTTTCAGCACTTGACTTGTAGAAGACATGGGATCCTCTGGACGACCCCATGTGTTAGTTTAGTAGGGCTGCCTTGCCTAATTACCATAGACTGAGCAGCTTAAACACACATTTGTTTATTTATCACAATTCTGGAGGCTGGTGTTGCAGGTCAAGATGTTGGCAGGATGGAATCCCCCCGCCGTCCCAGGCTTTCTCCTTGAACTGAGAATGGCTGCCTTCACCCTGTGTTCTCACATGGTCTTGACTGTGTTTCTGGATTTGGGGCACCAGGTCCAGGGGTCAGAAGGTTCTTGGTCTCATCAGAGAAAGAATTCAGGGAGGGACACAGAGGTGACTTACGCAGGAACAGGTTAATTAGGGCAAAGCAAAGTGAAAGGAACCCGAATGCACACCCTCAAGTGAGAAGGGGAAACTCAAGGAGGAGAGCTGGCCAAATGTCAGGTTTTTACCAAGTCTTCAGACATGGACATGGTCATGACTGGAGGACTGGACCACGTGTCATGAACTCCTCCAGACTGGTTCATGCAACCATGCGCATATCAATCAGGACATTCCTAGACCTGAATAATCAAATAAGGACTGCCCATTTCTGTGGCCTCAGGGGTTGTGGTCCTGCAAGACCAAGACTTTGCTGTATGACATGAGTTAACATCAGAGGCCAGGGTGTGATTTTTATCAACATTTGTGCTATCCTTCTCAGCCATCAGGATTCCTAACTCCCTCCCAATCCCTATAAATGCAGAGAACATTGACTCCATCCTCACATCGGGTTCTCCCTCAGACTGAGGGTTGGGAATCGTGATCCTTTGTGTGACAGACAAGGAGGCTGAGATGAGAAAGGGCGAGGGATCAGGACCACCTGACTCTACAGCCCAGCTTCCCCCCAGTATCTTGATGCTGTTGCTCTCAGGGCTGCTGTGTGTCCACAGCAGGGACCCTTGGGGTAGGACAGAAAGTAGTTTAGGAACCCTAAGGACAAACCTGTAGATCACACCTTCAAGAACCCCTTAGAAATCCTGGTTCTAGTTATCCTTGAGAACTCACCTTCTAGCTGCATAGGGCAATCAGTTATCCTAGAAGCCCTTGCAGCACATCCATACCCAGCAGGTTCTGCAATGTCCTCATTGCTGGAAAACTTCTCAAGAACAGAGACCAAGCTTGCCACAGTCTTCCTCTGACTCCACTTCCCAGCAAGGAGCAGCTGCTCATGATGCGTTGTCGAATTCATTCGTTCATTTAGTACCATCTCCCTCAGCCCAGGGGAAACTCCCCCTTGTTGTACAAGTCATGGTTGCTCTGCCCAGCCCCTCCTGAGTCCAACCCCTGCCAGACTGTCTGCAACCCGCCCCCCCATGCTGAGCTTCTAAACGGTATGAATGGATGACAGTGCTGACTGGCCTGGTAGGGACAGGGCTGTGGGAGGGAAAGGAGCAAACAGAGGGCTGGGAGCTGATGGTCAGTCTTCCTGCTGAGTGTGGCCCTGCTGGGCTGCATCAGGAAAGTGAAGATGGCTGTTCTCCAAGAGTCCTGACAGCAAGTATGAGCAAAGTTCCTCTTCTGTGGTCATTCAGCCCTCTGACCTCGATCCTTGGCTTCCGGTGGGGCTTCTTCTCAGTCATGTGACACCAAAGCCAGTGACTCTCTCACACCTAAACTCCCACACCCACTGAATTCTCTGCTCACTCACAGGAGCCCAGATGCCCTCTGTCTCTGTGATGTGGCAGTCACTTCTGCCGGCCCTGCTGTGGGCAGCCGAGTGGGTACAGGGAAACAGGAATGGGAGGCTGAGCAAAGCTGAATCTTGTTCCCCCAAAAAGTTCCAGAGTCTGAATCAACAAAACAAGCTGGACCTGTGGACACCAATGGAGGTGCAGGAGGGTCTGTGTGTCCTCATTCCCTGCTGTGTCTTCCACTCCAACTTGCACTCCTCCAACGGCTCTGTCTTCGGCTACTGGTTCCGGGAAGGGGCAGATATATACCACGATTCTCCAGTGGCCACAAATAACCCAGATCGAAAAGTGCAGAATGAGACCCTGGGCCGATTCCATCTCACCGGAGACCCACAAAAGAACAGTTGCTCTCTGGACATCAGAGATGCTCGGCAAATGGACACGGGAACGTACTTCTTCAGGCTGGAGAGAGGGTCTTCTGTGAAACATAGCTACACAATGGACCAGCTGTCTTTGCATGTGACAGGTAAGGAATGAGCTCACAGCCATGGGTTCTGAGGCCCCCAGGCACAGCCAGGATGGGATCCCCTGCTCCTTACCCTAGAAAAAGATGTTGGACACAGGACATGGGCTGGCTGGAGAGGACGGCTGGCCTGACACAGAGGTTGCTTTTTGAGGACACTTGAGGTCACCAGGGCCTGAGCTTCTGTCATTTTCCTCCCTAGCTCTGACATACAGCCCTGAACTCCACATCCCAGAAATCCTGGAGCCCGGCCATCCCATCCGCCTGAACTGCTCTGTGCCCTGGGCCTGTGAGAGGGGGACGCCCCCCATCTTCTCCTGGATATCAGCTGCCCTCACCTCCCTGGGATCCAGGACCACACTCTCCTCAGTTCTCATCCTCAGTCCTCGGCCCCAGGACCATGGCACCAATGTCACCTGCCAGGTGAACTTCCCTGGAGTTGATGTGACTGTGGAGAGAACCATCCAGCTCAGCGTGTCCTGTGAGTACCAGAACAGGATGCTGGGGTCCCTAAGAACCGGGATGTAGGGGGCGGAGGAGACAAAAAGCCAAAAACCAAGAACTGGAGAAAGGAAAGAGGACCCCTGACTGCTCCCTCTTTCTTTCTAATTTTTTGTGGGGAAAGTGCTAGCAGTCACCTCCTCCCACTGAAACGGGACAATCATGTCTGTCTGTCCAGATGCTCCACAGAACCTGATGATCAGTGTGTTCCAGGGAAATGACACAGGTAGGGACCTCTCCTCCATGGGGGTGGGGGTGAGGACACAGTCTCCACTCTGCAGAGAAGAGCGGGTCCTGCAGAGCTCAGGCAGGAGGAGGCTCAGGACAGGAGCAGGGCAGTAATGTGGGACGCCCCCACTCCTCACCCTACACCCTGCACAGGCCACCCCACTCTCACCCAGGTGTCCCATGGCCTCTTCCTTGGACACCAATAAAGGTGGCTGTCACCAGTGCCAGAGCTGCATCTTAATCGTACACCCTGACCTCCTTCTCCTTAAGACCTGAGCTCTCCCTGCTCCCTGACTTTCCTTTGAGTGTGGAATACCTTTTTGTGAAATAGTGAGCTTGAAATTTGTCTTAGTCTGCTAGTTTCCATAAGGAAAAACTACAGACTTGGCAACTTCAACACAAACATTATTTCTCAAATTCTGTAGACTGAGTGTGCAAGTTCAGGGTCTGCCCCATTCAGTCCCTGGCTCATAGGTGACCTTCTCCCCTGGTTTCTTTCCCTGTGTCTCTTCTTCTAACTGCACCAATCCCATCTTGAGGCCCCCCCCCATTGTGTCACCTACCCCTAATGTCCTCCCAAAAGCCTTGTATCCCATGGGATTTCATTCTTCAACATAGCGATTTTAGAGGAATACATATGTTCAATCCAGTTCATAGCAAAATTCAGTAAGAATAAGGATATGATAGAGTGGGGGGCATGTAATGTGCCTTCCATGCAGCTGTGAACTCTTCCTAAGTGTGTTAACTTGCTCTTCTCCCTGCATTATTCACTGTACTTTCTAAAGTGAAATGGCCTGTAAGAAAACATAATTTGAGCATTTTTTAAAAAATAGAATAAGGTAGTGCTTCACACCTACTGTTTCTCTTTCCTTGGCCATCCTTGCACAGATGACCTCTGCATAGACACTAAACACAAGCATCATCCTACATCATTATGACCTTTTCCCCTTTCCTGCTGATTTTTTTTATTTTATAAATTTTGTTAAGATATATTCATTATAGGAGGGACTCATAGGGACAATTCTGATTAGACTTATATTGTACATTAGCTACATCGCCCCCATTGTCTTTCTTCCTCAACCCCTCCCCACCCCACTTAAAGCAATTGCAAGAGGTTTCTTAGCTCTGTTTCATATTAGGAATATGAAGTCCATCTGCCATATAGCCCCTCCCACACACATACTGCACTTATTTTACAGTCCCGTTTTTTGTTATTAATATTTAAGTTGATGTTCATAGCGGTGTCTCAATGCATCCTTACTGTGGGTGTGCTTTACTTTAATCTGTTCAACCCCTTGCATTATAACTTTTATTTGTAGCTTTTTTTAATTCTGTCATGGTGCTGGAGATTGAATGCAGAGCCTTGCACACTGAGACAAGTGTTCTACCTCAGGGATACACTCAAAACCCCTTTTCATTTTTTTTAATAAAATATTCATTTTGGAATAATTTTAGATCTACAGGAAAGTTGTAAAGATGATACAGAGAGATTCCATAAATCCATAACCGAGTTTCCCTCATCAAAACCTTACTTCTCCCTGGTACCTAAGTCACAGCTAAGAAAGTGACAGTTGTACACGACTGAGTTAGACTTGCTTTCTTTCTCAAAATTAGTGTGTCTTGGAGCTCTTTCTATATTTGTACATAGGAAACCTATGGCTCCATGGCTTTCCAGTTACAAGGATGTGATATCAGAAAGAGTTCACCTGGTTCTCCCTCGTGGAACACCATGGTTTCCTGTCTTTTGTTCATAGAAATAATATTTCAGTAATAACTTAAGTGAACGTTTCTCACATTTGTGTGCAAGTCTATAAGATGATTTTCTAGAGAAGAGAGCTCTAGATCACAGGGGGAGCTTTAACTCCTGCAGACACTGCCACGCTGCACTGCATGGATTTATCTTATTTGTACTCCATGAACAACGTGTCTCTTCCCCTGAGAAACAAACACACCTTTCCCTGCTGATGTCATAAGCAAATTCACTATAATTTGAGCTCACATCATCATTGTGTGGATAGGCTAGAAATCCTTCATCATGTTGAAGAAAATTTTGTCTGACTTTGTGAACACTTCCCAAGTGATTTGAACAAGGACTTTTCTAGTAAGTAGACCAGCTTTGTTAGTTGAAAGAATTTATGTCCAGGATTAGGCACAGTGGCTCACGTATAATCTCAGGTACTCAGGGGATGGAGATCAGGAGAATTGCAGTACAAGGCCAGCCCAGGAAAAAGGTTAGTGAAACCCATTTCAGCAAAATAACCGGGTATGGGAAGCATAGGTAGGAGGCTCTCATTCTGAGAACTGCCACATGAAAAACTCAAAAACCTACAGAATATCAGAAAAATAAGTAAAGCAACAGGGCTGGAAGTGTAGCTCAATCAGTAAAGGCCCTGAATTCAAAACCTTGTTACCATGAACACACATACACGTGTGTGCACACGCACACACACACACACACACACACACACACACACAAATGAGCTAGAATTTGTTCAGCTGAGCTCAGAGATGCTGTAGAGCTGGCCCCCATGGCTGACAGGAACCCATGCTGGGATCTTCCCTGGCCACCTCCCTCCTGTTCTTCCTGTTCCCCTTCAGCCATCCCCCTCTGGGAAGTCCTCCTCCTCCTGATAGGCCAATTGGATCAACAGTGGGATCTCTGCCATACTCACCTCCACCACAAAACAGGTCCTAGTGGTCACAGTGCTTGATGCAGACCTGGTTTGGGGTATCTTTCCCCAAGCCTGTAAGCGCCTCAGACAGAAGTAAATTAGATAAGCCTAGATGAACTGTAGCTAAGAGACTGAATGACAAACTACTAAAGGAAAGCCAGGCATCTGAGTGGCACAGACAGCCAGGACAAAGGGTGAGGGGATGAAGCCAGGTGGAGGGGATTCAGATGGCCTTTTGCGAGCTCTTGGAGAACTGTGTGCTGTACCCATCATGTCCCCATGGGGCAGAGTCAACACAGGATGACCCCATCAAGTCATGGAATAGAAAGACTCACATGACATGAGGAGAAGAGAGACAGAGCCCAGTGGGCCCTGACTCAGCCTTCTCTCTGCCTCCCCAGAATCTTCAGCCCTGAGCAATGGTTCATCTCTGCACATCCAAGAAGGAGAGTCCCTGCGCCTGGTGTGTGTCACTGACAGCAACCCTCCTGCCACGCTGAACTGGATAAGGGAGAATCTGACCCTGAGACCCTCACATTTCTCCAACCATGGGGTTCTGGAGCTGTGTCAGGTGGAGCTGGAAGACAGTGGAATATACATCTGCCAAGCTCAGAACCCGCTGGGTGCTCAGACAGCCTTTGTAAACCTCACTGTGCAGAGTGCGTTGGGAGATAGCTGGGGGTAGGACACCTGGGTCCCACCAGGGGAGAGCCCCTCTGATCACTCTCTTCCATCTCCACAGGCCCCCTGCAACTTCTGGGCCCCTCCTGCTCCTGGAGTGCTGAGGGTCTGCATTGCAACTGCTCCTCTCGAGCCTGGCCACCCCCCTCCCTGAGCTGGCAACTCGGGGAGGCACTGCTGGAGGGAACCAGCAGCAATGCCACCATCAGGCTCAACTCCAGCTCAGCTGGACCCTGGGTCAACAGCTCCCTAAGCCTTTTTAGGAATCTCAGCTCCAGCCTCTATGTCATCTGTGGAGCCCGGAATATCCACAGGGCCCAGAAAGGCACTGTTCTCCTGCTTCCAGGTCAGGAAGTTATGAAGGGCAAGACTGGGGAAAGGGAAGACTGGAATCTGGATCCTGTAAGACAATGGAATTGAGAAAAATGGTGCTGATCCAAAGCAAAGTGGGCCTGGAGTTCATGGTGCTCTGTCCTTTGGCTGGAGTGGGACAGAAGAGACAGGTGACTGCTGTCACATAGAGAGTTTGGAACAAAGGATGTGGTCCTGGATGATGGTGGGCATTCTCGTGGGTCATGGATGTGTGATTAGGTGAGACTGGCACTTAGGTGCCTGGTTAGGGGGACTGGAGATCACCCTGCTCTCTCTCGTCTGCAGGGAATTCAGCATCCAGGAAGGCAATGGTTCAGGGGGTCGTCGGGGAGCTGGTGCCATGGTCCTGCTTGCTGCCTTCCTCAGCATCATCTTCTGCATGTGAGTGATGGCTCAGGTTGGTGCAGAGGCTTCATGAGGTGGGGTGAACAGCTCAAAGAATCACCAAAACTCAGAGCCAGAGGTGGAGCACCCTGGCGAGATGATGAAGCCAGGGGTGGCTGCATTTAGGTGCTTTCTCCTGCCACCTTGGCCACGTGCCAAGTGCATTGCCAACTCCTGGCTCCTGGGCACAGGAAGATGGAGCTTCTAATCTTGTCATTGTCTCTGAAGTCACGCAGCAGGCCTCACACCCTGCCACTAAACCCAACCCTTCTGAGCTCCAGCACCCAGCCAGCCCGGCTAAAAGGCCCTTGTCTCTTTCCCCAGAGTGAAGACCTGCAGGAAGAAATCCAGGCAGAAAGCAGCGAGTGGGGATGGCACCCATCCTGAGGTGAGGACTGGCTCCCTGGTGGGTGGGGTGGGCATGTGTCCATCCTGTGCTGCAGCTGGACACCTGGCCAGGTGACCCAGGGCAGCTCCCTCAGAATGACAGAGCTGAGCATCTATTCCCACAAACATCTCCCTCCCCCCAGGTTTCCTGCTGCAGCCAGAGGCTGGGAACCTTCCCTCCACCCCCCTCATATTCCAGAGCCCATGGTTTCCCACGGTTGTCCCTGTCTTCTGTTAGCAAAGCTTTTCCCAGTACAACCCCTTCCTGCCAAACCCTCCCTATCTCTCACTTGGGCCCTACACTGGCCTCAGCTCCCCAGGGTGAGATTCCAGGAGGGAAATCCCAAAGCAGTGTCAGTGGGGGTCTTCTCTCTGCTTGGTCCTCATGGTTCAAGTCACCACTGTCCAATAGAAATAGAATGTCAGCTCCATTCAGGATGGAAACATTTCTAGTAGTCATATTGGAAAAGTAGAAGGAGCAGGGAGGGTGGCTCATGCCTCTAATCCATGCTGCTCAGGAAGGGGAGACAGGAGGATCTTAAATTTGAGTTCAGCTGGGGTAAATCTAGGGATTTTATTTTTTGCAAAAATCAGATATTAACAAAAGACCTTAAGCTTTTACACTTATATTGGTTAGGACAGGAAATGTCTGCTTCCCTATTACATGGAAGGTCCCAGAGTGTATACTCAAGAAATGGTGTGGTTTGGATAAAGGAATCAATGCATTCTCCAGCCTGGAAGGCTTTCTCTGATGCCTCCTCTTGGCCCCTTGGCAGGGTCACCTGGATGCATCCAAGTCAAACAGCAGCCTACACCACTCACCTACTCCCACGACCCCCATGGAGAAGGAGCCCGAGCTCCATTACGCATCCCTCAACTTCCACAGGCTGAAGTCCAACCAAGACCAGGACCCCAACACCACCGAGTACTCAGAGATCAAGATCTGTAAGAGTTGATGTCTCTCTCCATGTCCCAACTCTGACTGGACTCCAGAAAAGTCATCGCTGAGGTTAATGTCTGCCAGAGACAGATTCTTGATATCAACACAGGTTATAAAGAAGAAAGTGGCGTTCCTTGATGTGACTAAAGGGCACAATTAGAGGTTTCTGGGTTCCCATCTAGACTTGGGGTTACCTCAGGCAAGGCTCTCTGTACCTCCATGTCTTCCTGTGCAATGGGGGTGATATTCATTATGTACATTGAGCTGGAAAATGCAGTTTGTGTTGTTAAATGTCTTGTTATGTGTGTGATTCTGAATCGTGTTGACCTCAGCAGGGTGGAGGAAGATGTTATCTTTTGACTCTAATGTATGCTCCTATGTTGCACGGCTATTTTTAAGAACATTTGCTATCTTAAAAAACAAATCTCCTTTTGGTCATTTTCACCCTAGAAATAACCAGCTCCCTGTCTATTGAAACTGTTTTCTGTTCCTAATAAACTTTATTATCACTTTCACTATAATTTGCATCTTCTCCAGTGAACTCAAGGGTTGCCATAGCTTCACTGACTTTCTGGCATCATTTTTGGTGCTGTGGCTCAGGTCTTGCACATCTGTTTCTGCAAGAGCTCAGAACAGTCTTCCTAAATTATGTAGGATTGAGGCCATGCCTGTTCATTCATCCCTGCAAGTGCTATTCCACTGTTTCAATTCTGGCTGCTTTTTCTCCCTTGCCCAGTGTCATCTTCAGGTGGCCTAACACGCATGACTTGCTTTGAGGTTCCTTCCAGGTTCTGCCTCTGCCTTTCCTACTGAGTTCCTGAGTGCCAGGTGCTTCCTTTCAGGCTGGTGTTCACTGCATCGCCAAACATCAGCCCCAGGGGACCCCTATCAGATGCTATTGGTGATGACTGGTTCTGCCTTGATACCTTACAGAGCTGGCTTTCTAATTCAATTTTTTTTCTTGGTAATGGGGTTTGAACTCATGGCCTCACACTTGCTAGGAAGGTGCTCTAACACTTGAGCCACTCCACCAGCCCCCAGAGTTGGGTTTCTTTAACCCTTGTTAGACACCTGGTTCCAACATCATTGAAGCAGTCTCTAGAATACTCCTTACATCAGATATAGGGGATCTATGAGGCCCTTATCTTTCTACCTTCAAGGCTTCAAAGGCTTTACTTTCCCTTTTATGACCCCTCCCTGTCTCTGTCCCTATGGCTCCAATCTTTTGGACTGAGCTTCTCACTTTGAGACCCCCATCTTGGAAAGAGCTTATTCCAACAATAGTCTTCTTCTGTTCTTAAGGCACTGCCTTTGTTGTTGGCCCACTGCCCAATCTTTTCAAGGACTCCCCTTTTGTGCGATCTCAGATTCAATTAGATGAAACTCCCCATGCCATAAGAGATATTCAGAGATAGATGAAACAAGATTGTTTCTTGAGCTGGACCACAGGGAAACACAGATACTAGAAGAACCAGAAGACTGTAAAGAGTGTGCTACACTAGTTTCCTGGTTTCCAGAGGTTTCCCTTGAAAGTGACCCTATGGATGTACCTAGCTCAGGGGCTGGGGGGGGACACCTCTTCCTCAACCTAGGCTTCAAATTCTCTCTCTGGATGGAACACATGGTCTGGATGATGACAGTTAACTCTCCCTTTCTTCCAGATTGGCAATGTGTCATCTATTCATACAGACTCACCCCTTTAAAAGTGAAACAAATATAACTCTGAGACATTAAAACAAAAAAGACATATTCTTTTTCAATACTGTCTGGCCACTATATGATCTTGGCTCTAAAGAAAAATAGCCTGGAAATGGAAGCTTTAGCCATAATAACCCTTCTGTAAGAGGGAAAGAGGCCAAATGTGTCTGGCCCACTGAGGACATTCTAGATATTCCCCAGCTCTCTTGTTCCACTCTGCCGCCCTACACAGTTCCCTATCATTCTTCCCCATCCTTCTAGCTCTGTCTGTGAGGTTTCTCCCATCACCTGTCTGGCTCATGATCTGTTTTGTGGAGACCTTTTCCAAAAACCCAATAGGTTCAATGGATCCTCTCCTGGCTCTACCATGTGTATCCTGAGGAACTAACCCCTCTCCTTGTCTTCCTTTCCCTGGAAACTTCCCACTCCCTACCCCTAGTGCTTTAACTTTCTGGACAGACTGCTGTTCTGCCCTCTGCCCAGAGGGAAAGCCTTTTGTTCTCTTCAGACATTTTTTGTGCAACTGGTTAAATTCCAGACTGATTCAAAAGTCTACAATATATGGGTCTATAAGCAAATGTGGTTTTTGTAAATTATTTTTATATAGAGAAACAGTTTAATGTTGTATTCTTCCTGGATCTTTGTTGAAATATAATGCTACTAAGAGTGTTTTATTTTATTGGGAAAAGAATGATTTTGACTAAATTCAGAAGTTTTATAAAGGGGATGAAGGTGTGTCTCAAGTAGAAAAGGACCTGCCTAGCAAGTTCAAGGCCCTAAGTTCAAACCCTAGTACTTGCAAAACTTCAGTAAAAACCTGCGTTGTGATTACAATAACTATTCTCATCTTAGAGAGATCTACTCTCAGTACATGTTATACAACTACCAAATGGGGAAAAATAATAACTCATCTCTAGAATATCAGTTGGTGGTGAGGATAGAGCCATGAAGCTCTCATACACCATGGGCAGGAGTAGGAATTGGTGCAGCCAATACAAAAAAATGTCTGTCACTCTCCACCAACACTGAGCATACATTAACAGTAGAGAGGGGTTTGTGGGAATATTTCCAAGGTGAGTACAGAGGACTTCCCTTTCCTTACATTGGCCATCAAGATGTTGGATAAGTGTCAGTTAATTAGTTTCCCAATTATCTATGATAACAATTGGTACTGTTCAAGATTTGGTGAAGGTGCAGAAATAAAATATATTTCAATAAAGTTCCTATAAAGGCGGCATAGGTTATTGAACACATAATTAGGGCCCAGGGCCTGAGGCCCAAGGGAAAGAGCACCTAGGGTTGAGAAGTATCAACTAAACTTTGTTTTTTAGCATTCCTTAATTTTGTGTTAGTATATTTATTGTACAAAAGGGTTTCATTGTGATATTTCCATCCATGCAAGTAACATACGTTGATCAAATTCACCCCTTCTAAACAGGAAGGTAAAACAGGTCCTGGCTGGGTGTTGGCATCAGTGCGAAGAGGGAGGATATAAAGAAAGAGTGTAGGAGGGTGAATATGGTGGAATATATGTACTCATGTATGAAAATGGAAAATGAGACCTGTTGAAACTATTCCAAGAATGGGGGAGGGGGATAAAGGGAAATGATGGATGGGGTGAATTCAATTATGACATAATGTTAGAGCTTTTATAAATGTCACAGTGTATCCCCAGTACAACAATAATGTGATAATAAAAACTCACCCCCCTCTATTATTCTTCCTTATACCTCCCCACATTTAAAACAATTTTAATGGATTTCATTATTCTATTTTCATACATGTGCATAAAGCACATGGGTCATATTCACCCCCTATCAGCCTCTCCTGTTGCCCTCCTTCCTCCCAGTGGTTCCCGCAAAACAGTCCCTGTTTGAGACTCTTGTCATTTCTTTTTCAGGTCTAGATTCACCTATAAGAGAGAGCTATTCACCTATAAGAGAGAGCATGCCCTATTTATCTTTCTCGGGCTGACTTATTTCACTTAACATGATAACCTTTAGTTCTATCATTTCTCCTGCAATTGACATAATTTGTATAGGTGCCACATTTTCTTTATTCTTCTGTTGACAGGTACCTGGGCTGATACCATAGTTTGGTGACTGTGAACAGTGCTGCAATAAACATGTGTGCACAGGTATCTCTTATCATGTACGATTCCTTCCTATGTATACCCGAAATGGTATAACAGGATCATGTGATAGTTTTCGTTTTAGTTTCCTGAGGAACCTCCATAATGAGCTGTACTAATTTACATTCCCACCAAGAGTATATAAGAGTTCTTCCCCCACATCCTTGTCAGAATGTGTTGCTACTTTTTCTTGATGGTTACCATTCTGACTGGGGTCACATGGAATCTCAATGTCGTTTTGATTTGCATTTCCTTTACAGTTAAGGATGTTAAATTTTTTTTCATGTATTTGTGGCCATTTGGATGAGAGCTGTCTGTTCAATGCATTTACTCATGGGCTAATTGAATTGTTTGTTCTTTTGGTGTTTAATTTTTTGAGCTCTTCAGCTATTCTATTACCTAATGAATAGTCACCATAATTTTTCCTCCCATTCCATAAGTGGTCTCTTGATTCTGGAATTGTTTCCTTTGCTGAGAAGCAGCTTTTTAACTTGACGCAATCCATTTGGCAATTTTTGCCCTTATTTCCTGAGTCCTATTCAGAAACACATTATCTATGCCTACCTTGTCAACTGCTTCCCTCTGTGTTCTTGTAATAGTTTCAAATTTTCTGGCTTATTTTAAGGTCTTTGATTCATTTTGAATTAATTTTTGTACAGGATAAGAGAAGAGAATCTAGTTTCAGTCTTTAAATGTGGATATCCAGTTTTCCCAACACCTTTTGTTGAAGAAACTATCTTTTCTCCAAGGTATCTTTTGGGTGTGCCATTGTTGAAAATAAGTGGCTGTAGCTGGGTGGGGTTATTTCTGGATCTTCTGTTCTTTCTGGTGGTCTATTGTCTGTTTTTGTGCCAGTACCATGCTGTTTTTTTTAAACCATGGCTCTTTAGCATAATTTGAAGTCAGGTGGTGTGATACCTCCAGCATTGCTCTTTATGCCCTGGTGTGCTTTGGCTATTCAAAGTCTTTTGTGCTTCCATCTGAATTATAGGATTGATTTTTTGATGGGATTGTATTGATTCTGTTGCTTTCACTAATGCAGCCATTTTCACAATATTAATTCTGCTTATCCATGAACATAGGAAGTCTATCCATCTTCCACTGTCTTTATTCCAAGTATAGAGGTCTTCCATTTCCTTAGGCTTACCTCTGTATATTAGACTTTTTTTTTTGAAGCTGTTACGAATGGAATTGTTTTCCTGATTTCTCTCTCTTGGTGTATAGAAAAGCTACTGAGTTCTTTGTTTGTTTGTTGCTATGTCTGTGTGCCCTGCGATGTTGCCAAAATTATCATCTAAGAGGTTTTTTTGGTGGAGTTTTTAGGGTCTTCTACGCATAGAATCATAGTATCTGCAAATAGGGATAATTTAACTTCTCCCTTTCCTATTTGTATCCTTTTTTTTCTTCTCTTGACTTATCACTCTACCTAATAATTTGAGCATTATGTTAGATAAGAGTGGAGAGAGTGAACACCCTGGTCGCCTTCCTGACTTAAGAGGAAATGCTCTCAGTTTTTCCTCATGTAGTGTTATGATGGCTATAGGTTTGTCATATGTTCAGATACATTTCCTTTTTTCTTAGTTTCTTCAGGGCTTTTATCATGCAGGGATGTTGAATTTTGTCAAGGTTTTTCTGCATCTATTGAGATGATCATATGATTTTTGTTCTTTATTCTATTTATGTGCTGTTTTATGTTGATTGATTTATGTATGTTGAATCATTCATGCAGCCCTGGAAGGAAACCAAGTTGTTCATGGTCTACAATATTTTTGATGTGTTGTTGAATTTGGTTTGCAAGTGTTTTATTGTGACTTTTGTGTCTATTCATCAATTAAATTGTTCAATAATTTTCTTCTTTTTCCTGTTATGTCCTTAATCCATTTTAATTTCAAGGTAATACTGACTTCAGACAATGATAGTATTCCTTCCCTTTCTATTTAATGGAATGGTTTGAGGATCATTGGTGTTAGTTCTTCCTTCAAGGTGTATGAATTTATCCAGTCCTGGGTTTTTCTTTGTTGAGACACTCTTTATTATTGCTTCAATCTCATTGCTCATTGTAGATCTGTGTAAGTCATATGCATCTAGAAATTTATGTTTCTTCTACATTTTCCAGTTTATTGCAGTATAAGCCTTTTAAATATTCCCTAATGATCCTCTGAATTTCATTGGTACTTGTTATGATATCCTCCTTTTATCTCTAACTTTAATAATTTGGGCCCTCCCAAATATCTAAGGATTCGTTTATCTTTCAAAGAACCAACTCCATATTTCATTGATTCTTTGATTGTTCTTTTCCTCTCCACTTTACTGATTTCTGTCTAAAATTCATTACTATTTCTTTCTGCCCAGTAATACTGAGTTTGCTGTATTCTTGTTTTGTAAGAGTCCAAGGTGCATCATTAAGTTATTTCTTTTAGATATCTCTGATTTTTTTTAATATAGGCATCTCTTAGCACTGCCTTTGCTATATCCCAAAGGTTCTAGGAAACTGTTTCTTTGATTTGAAAAATTTTTTTCTATGTTTCTTTGATTCGAAAAATTTTTTACTTCCCTCATTCTTTCTTCTATGACCCACTGATGGGTCAGAAATTGAATAAATTCAGGTCTTTATTTTATAAAAATATCTTCAAGATCATACATAGCAGATGCATTTTAGAAGGTTCTCAAGAAAGGGAGGGTCACAAGGGCAAATATGTCCCAGAGTCAAATATTGTATGTGTGTGGGGGGGATGATTAAAATGAAGAGAATGGCAGAGGGCTCCATATGCATCAAGGAGAAAGGCCCAGAGGCCAAGAGGAAGTAAGAGACAAGGGACTCCATAGTGTCACAAGGGAACAGATTTTGAAGCCTTTTGAAGTCTGACCTTTCTTCCTAAGGCTGAGTTTATGGGATGCCATGCCTGTTCTCCATGAGCCCTCCCTTACTAAAGCATAGGAAGACTTTTTTCCTTGACACCAAACAGCCCATGGTTGTCACACCAGGATCTGTGGAAATTCAGAGGCAAGTGTGTGTAGGGCAAAGTCCTTAGGGTGAAGAAAAGAAGGAAAGTCTTGAGTGAATTTCCACTCTGCATGACCCCATTGCCTCATCTAGGCAAAGTCCAGAGGAAGTAGCATTGGGCTTAGCTGGGGGAGGGGGAATCTTTGCTTAAGTTGCACACCTCTCCAGCCCTATTAGTTTTTGCACTGTATGAAATGGCCTCTGAGTGCAGAGAAAGCTCTCATTTAGGGTGTGGGCTGGAAACCTGGTCTGTTGGTTATTAGTTACTGACTAATGAGCCATTTAGCCAGGGGTCAGCATGTTCAGCCAAGGGCCAGATAGTCAATATTTCACATTTGACATGACGTGGGGTCTCCAATACAGCTACTCAGCTCCACCTTCTAGGATGAATCCAGCCATAGGCAATACATAAATAATGGGTAATAATGGTCAAGTTTCAACAAAACTTTATTTTTTAAATTGGCATATTGAGTTGTGGGGGGAGTTCACCAAGACATTTACATATGTGCTTGCACTGTATCTCAATTAGATTCACCACGTCCATCTTTCTCCCTCATCCCTTCTTGTCTCTCCTTAGAACAATTTCATCAGGTTTTATTTTTCAATTTTTATACACATATACAAAGTGCATCAACCATATTTGCCCTCCTTCACTCTCTCCATTTATACTCTTCCTTCCACTGGTATTCATCCCTGCAAAAAAACCTTAAGACCATGACAAGTAATTAGTGAACACTAATTAGATAAAAACTCTTCATCTCTTTTACCTTCTCTCTATGTGGACCCCTCCATATTTAATGTTTCCACCATGCCTTAGCCAACAATCCCCAAATCCTTGTGTTCAGCTTGGACCTTGCTCTCAAACTCCAGACCCATCATCTTGGCTTCATCTTTCTCTTCAGGCCAATCTCCAGCATTTTTTCTCATCTCCTCTCATAACTCCATATTAAGGAACAAATTGCATATTCCTCCACTTCCATTTTTAGGCTGCACCCCTAACTCCCAACACCTTAGGTAGTTCAAGCTAAATGAAATCATAAGGGTGGGACCCTAACCCAATATAATTGGTGTCTTTATGAGAAGAGAGACACCAGGGAAGTACAAGCACAAAGGAAAGGCATGAGAGGACACAGATAGGGGACAGCCATCTGCAAGTCAAGGAGAGGGACTCAGAAGAAACCAGCCCTGCTGAGGTCTTGATCTTGGACTCCCAACCTCCTTATTATTTAAATCACTCAATCTGTGGCATTGTATTATGGCAACCCTAGAAAACCAATCCACTCTGCTTTTCCTTGTGGGTTCCCACCTCTATGAGGGCCCTAAATCTACCCAATTATTGCAATGCAGTATTTCAAAGATATCTATTGAAACTAGTATAGAAATGGGGGAATGGGAATGAAGGAGAGGGTGAAGGGGATGTGTTCAAGTATGATAT